GTAAAGAACAACAACAAAAAAAGAAAACGATTGATTGATTATTAAATTAGTCATCGATTATTTTAATGATTGATTAGTCGTCGACTAATCGACTAATCCTGGGAGCCCTAATCATGTTTGAGCTGCAGAAACGTTTCTATTGTTTTCCAGCCTAGTCCCAGTTTTTATGTGGATCAGTTCCAGCTTCTTGTGCTCCTTTGTCAAAGACCGTTTCTCCTGAAGCGGAGCTACATTTAACTTGTGGTCTGTGATGTAAAGAAATAAAAACAAAGCTCTTTGCCAGCTGTCAGCTGGTGTTTGAAGCGTTAAATGATACAGTATATACAAGTTGAAGAGGATGCATTGACTCTGTGCTCTGTTAGATGATCTCTTGTGTCATCCAAACTGACAGCGTCCTCTTTGTTTCACACTTTTTTGGGCCCTGAAAGCGGAGCTGTTGTGATCCGAGCCAAAAGAGGCGTACAGTGCGMTGTCATTTTGGGGTGCGGAGCCAACTCACAGCCCGTTGCCAGCGCGAGTTACGTCACCCAGGCGCTGTGAGGCTGGCACAGCCAGCAGCTGAAACGTACTGTGGGAGCCGGACCACCGATACACGGATGCTCAAACGTGATGGTTTGCTGCTGCAGAGCTCCAGTGGTTTTCCAGCAGGTGTCATCCAGCACATAATGAGATTTAGGTTAATGATGGAGGAGAGATAATTTGATCAGGTTTTAGCTTCAGGCAAATTTACTCTGGTAAAAAAAAATGAAAATGCACCACAAAAGATTCCTGAACTTTTGTTTTCACTTTTCCTTTCTTTCTAACAAGGCTACGGTTGTGAAGGATTGAAGCGTTGACATTCCAAACATGAGCTTGTTTTGAATAAACCAGTGAAGACAAAACAGTCAGTGAAGATCAGGAGACACTTTACTGACAAGATAAAGGCCAGAGGGCCTCCTGCAGAATCTTAATTATCCATTAATTTAAAAAAAGTGCCGACGTGGGGGTCCCGGGATTTCTCAACCAACAATGTTCATCAGTGTTTGACAGTAAAAGAAATATATTCTGAATGTTTTTCAGGTGTTTGCAAATGATCATTTACTGATTTAATCCTCAGCTGTCGGGCTTGTTGGTGCTGKCGGTGGGACTGTGGCTGAGGTTTGACCCGAGCACAGTGGAGCTCCTGACAGGCGATGGAGCCCCCGACACCTTCTTCATAGGTACAAACATCCATCAGTCCTCACCATTAACATGCACATAAAGGCATTTTAGAAAACCTAAGAAGTCAGACGATGTCAATAATAACTTAAAATCCTTTCATATTTTGAATCTTTATATGAATATGTATTTTAAAATAAGAGGTTTGAAAATCAGCTAATTTTTTAAGAGCGAGGATTTTGCTTGTTGGGTGTTTAGCATGTAGCGGCCTACACATGTAGATTTGATGCACTTTCTTTTGTTTTTGACTCAGTGGTAGAAATTCCTGCAGAAAAAAAATGGTTGCCATTTTTGTTTCAGGCAGCAGCTGCTTAGAAAACCTGTCAGTCGTTACGACCGAAAAATGGCTCCACCTCTGTGTTTCTCAGTGTTTTATAGACACTGAGCTCTCAGATAGCAAAAACATATTAATTCAATGTTAAGTTATGGTCAAAAAAGTTGATTTTTGGATTAGGTTGACAACTGATGATGAATCAATCATTAGT